TATTGAAAGCGTTGCAAATATCGTGGATGATCGTTTCATAAATCGCACAGGTGTTCGTTCATGTGTAGTTGATTGTTATGTTGATAAAAGCCTCTGGGTTCAGTTTGCCCTGGTGGGCTGGGTCTGTGTTTTCCTAATCCAGGACGCAGGTCGTCAAATTGCAAGATTTGGGTTATGGTTTGTAATCAATTATGCTAAAGGTAATTCAATTGAATACACTAATATAGCTTATACGGGAAGTGAATATGCATGTAAGGACTACTGCAATTTTAGCTGAAGCAACTAAGATAGGTCCGGCCCTCATACAACACTTTAAAAATGCATCTCAGTTTTACTTGAGCATCGAAAATGGTTAATGTTGAAGTTTTATATGCAACAGAACGGTCATATATATTATACAAAGGACAACTGCTCTTTTAACCAACTGTAAGCCCATATAGTTACTGGCTCTGGCGGCTTCCTACTACCAAAAAGCCGTGAAGTGCGCGCGCGCGCGCGCGCTCGGCCCTGCAGCTAAACAACCTTTCTTCATGCATGTACCTCACTGATATTGTCCCATTGCTTCCGAGGCACTTTCGAATAATGGCATAGTTCATTTTGTGACTAAAATACTATATAACAATAGCTTGCTGCTTTTACACACGCACAAATAAACACGTATATAATCAGTGGGTTGATTGGCTTTCTTCGATGTGACAGAATGAAACAACTATGTTATGGGTTTAAGCATGGTAATCTTTATATCCTTTCATGCTGGTTAACCGTGAAAAGGGCCGTTTGACCTTATAAGGCATTGGCCAAAGCTTAACATCTTTTATGACAGTTTGCGTGTGTCACGTACCTACCAAATAAAATAAAGCATACATACGAATAAAAGGGATGTACATTTATGAAAAGTTATTTGAAATACACAAAAACAGAGAACGGGCTCTTATCGAATTCCCACGAGCTTCTACGTTTGACAATTTCGAAAACAGCCCTTCCATTTTACATTCAGCGTATAATAAGAGCGGCAGAAATACAAGGAATAGCGTCGAAAGCTATGATTAGAAAAGCACGTTTGATTAGAAGTGTCGATGCTTCACGCGATCGAGGTGCACTAACTCAGGATAATACCTATTAATACGCACCTCTAAACTAATCAAAGGTGTAATTCGATTGAGGTAAAATTTAGATGCACGCGTTAGTAAAATAATTAGCCTGAAATGATAACCAGACGCTATTTACATGCGTCTCGTAGGTCTTTGCCCAATAAGCTGACCATAATAAAAGATCGCGTCATCTTACAACAGGCCTGTTTTTCATATTCAGTCAATTTTTACTCACTACCTGCGCGTACGGACCAATGATCTTAATGAACAGAAATCAAATATATTGCATAAACGCTAATAAAAACTCGAAAAGCGCTGTTCGTGCCTGATTAAAAACGGGGCATTTCGTTTCGGCATAGCTTGCAACTGGACAGAGACAGTAAAAAGTAAGAATTTCATCGTTTCATTACACTAACGAGATCTATTAATCATATTTTATCGCAATCGAGACTCGTAGCTTAGGTGTACAAAAAAAGTCACACTGTGGGCAAAGCCATCGCATGCCGCCTTTCATTTAGACAGGTATGGAACAGCATAAGTAACATTTTACCATAGAGTTTCCTAAGCCTTTTAGATGGGATTGCAGCTAGAGCTCAGTTGGTTTGGAGTGTTCGTAAGAATTCTGTATTCGTAAAAGAAAAATGGCTAGTCTATGAGAGTCATCTAATGCATTACAGATCTCCTACACTGTGGACAATTCGTGCAGTGGTCCTATCAACTACAGATCGCTTGGAAACGCCCTTCAGATATATATGGCTTAAAAACAAACAGAACATAATATATTTCTAAATTATCACTAGTATTAGCACCATGTTGTTTACTTGTACACGCCCGATTACTACATCATTCAACGATGGATCCTCAATCAGTTGCTGATCAAGACTAACACATTATTATTATCTTTACTAATTGTACGGTACTTCACCTATACGGAGAAAAAAATTCGGTAGACGTAAAATTCTACAGAGCAGAAAAATAAGAACCTTACTTAAATCTAATTAATTATTTTTTCTGGTAGCTGATATTTCGAACAGTATCGGAATACTGCAGATCTCTAGATATCGAGACATTCATTTCTAGGTTTTGCTCGAATTCGTTTTTGATGTATTCAGCTTTACGAGGATTAATAATAATAACGATCGATGTTACGCTTGTCAAACCGGCCTCATTGCAATGTTGTGAGTCTGCTTCCGATGGCTAACCCGAGTCGTCCCTAACCGGAAAAAGTCGAACGAAGACCCATTCAGAGCCACCGTAATTAGGCAGGTGTTCCATCAGTGCATTTATGTATTTTTTAGGGTTCGTAAATTTGAAGAATCTTAGCAAAGTCTCTAGCCTTCATTCACCCATAATTGTCTTATCATTACGGCCTGGGCTCTGTCCGGACAGTATCTGTGCCACTCGTTATAATTTCACGGTATTACCTTGAACACAGTCATTTTGGGAAGTTTTAAAGCTCAACACACACGCCCGCACACACGTTAACTTCGGGCTTACGAGAAAAAGATTTGCGTTCTTCTACAATTACGTGCAGCTTTTATACGAGCGAGAGCATCACTAATAGGGATTTGTATGTGTTCGTGCGTATGGTAACATTATATTTTTAATTTCTTTACGCTACGAACATGTTAGAGTTTGCTATTTCTACGGACTTTAGGTCATCCATCTCTCGAATAGACCATTACTCTTAACCCAGTGAACAAGTGTAGCAAAATGGCCGTCCTACTAGTCAGATGTAGTACAAAAATGCGGAGCACACCTTTTGGCGAAAAAGGCCTAACAGGCACCGATAGACCGATGGCCTCCGACTGTGGGAAACACATGCTAGACCTTCATTTAAAGAACGTGTCAGCCTAAAATAGATCATATCAACTGTACTAATTAGACAAGAATTTCTCCATAGAACAGCAAGGCTCTTCCACAAATAGAAGGAGTCTCCTAGCGCCTGTTATAATTACTACCAGGCCGCACAATCATAGGTTAAACGGAAGTCTTTTAGCCACTTTAAAGTGCTAGAAGAAGTTTATACTTATTCGACAACATCGAAGATTTATGAGTGACTTTTTTTTAATGATTACCAAAAAACTGCTAAACTTTGTTAAATGTGGCACTTAACGCTTCCGACGGAATATTAATAAATTAGGATAGCCAAAAACACCCAAATTAAAAAGTAATCTTAGAAGTCTATATTTTATTATTTTTGTGAGTGTATGTATACAATTAAAATATTGTTTCCAATTTTAATCAAAAAAGTAACCTTCTTTTATAGTAACTAGGACAATTTTCCTAGATTATCAAGAAGAGTCGCCTTACAACCGTTGCTACACCACGTGTACCTTGAGGATTAGTGAATCCAGTTCGAAGATTTGTAACTCTACTAGAGAAACTCGTTCGAACATGCCAGTGAGACTAATATTGTATCTCAACTTATTTTCAAAAAAAAAACGGTGTCCATGGTTTGTGGCAGCGTGCGGAACCAGGAGTGATGTTTGTTCCGGAAACATTATGGTACTAGATCCCCTCTTATTTTCAGCGAGCACTGATAGGTAGAATTCTGTTCGAGACTAAAGCCTCTTAAATGAAGCCAAGAAATTGGAAAATCGTAAACACAATTGCAGCATCGTAGTTCCGATAGATCGATTCAAAGAAGTAGCCCGTTACTGTTGTGGGATCCAGGGGAGCTATCTTGAAAGCTCACAGCACTCTTCTACAAAGTTCATTAAAAACTATTTACAAAAGGTGCCTTTCAAAAAGAAATTATTGACTTAGGTAACGTTACTTTCTCTTTTGTTAGTGCATATACAACCTTGGCCCTTACAACCGGAGTAACTACAATAGCCGCACTTATTCAGATCAATCGATTATAACTAAAGGAAATAGAGGACATTAAATAAGGCAAAAACATGATATCTAATAGGACTACTACATTGTTTATTAAATATGTTCAATGATAGTATCTTTTCGTCCTACTCATGGTGGTTGGTGGTCCCTGTATTCATATTGATCCATCTTCGGCGTACATTTTTACCCTTTTCGTTGCTGTAGAATTAGAATAAAAAGAATTACTTATTATTTCACATATTACGCTCCATTAATTTATAGGATCGTACAGACAAAAAAGTCAGTAATCGTTGTGCTCGTCTCTTGCGTTTAAACATAGCTAACAATCGATGTATTATTGTATAAAGTAACCTAGACACGCCTTTGTTGATTCTTCTTTTGTGTTCCATTAACCTACGTTTTTTTTTATTCCAGACGTTTCTCATTGCCTTTGGCGATCAAACCTTACTGGCTGTCGGTTCGTACTCGACAGGTGCGCGCCTTTTGCAGAAAACTAACGTGGTACTACTCTACACGGTTTTTCTTTGGTGTACTACGTCGGCATTACTCCAGACAATCGACGACGAAGCGAACCGTGTATATTTTCCACATTCTAACTTAAGACGGTGCTACTTTTCGCATCTATAAGCCTGCAGCAAACACTCGAATCCACTAAATTTAATATCATTAATATTCCTTTAAACCAAACAAATGATATTGTATTTTCCCGATTGGGAAATAATCCCCGCTTAGCTGAGGTCGTTTTTCACCAACGGGGACAATACCAATAATAGGAAGAATTTCTGTTAAACTGTAGTATATAGGGAGTACTATATATAAGCATTTATTTGCTCATTTAAATTAAAACAGCTTAAATTAGCTGCGAGCTAACCAAAGCTGAGTGGTGATGGTCATCATATGCTTCTAGGTAAGTTAATATAATCTCAGAGTTTGAGTTTATGAGAGTAAAGATAATAATGATCCCCAAACAATCATACTTTACTAAGACTACTAAAATGTGGGTGCTAACGAAGTGAATGAATGGGTCCGCGATAGTGGAGTAACAGTATCTGCCCTGGATACGTTTTTTTTTTCGTATTTCCAAAGATTGTTTAATCTATTCGTCGTCTATGAGTAAGCTCATATATGGATCGGTATGCATATTTTACCTTGAGTGTCTTTTTCCTTACCGGCATGACCTGTGTGATTGACGCGTCTGTGTTATAGTATTCACATACAGAAGCTCTACAGCCTAGTATTACACAAACAATTTCTCCTTTCTGAAGTAGAGGATTTCATGGCTAACTACAGTTCCAAGTGATATATTCACTTACGTAGCCCGAAATGTGTCTAACCCAAGTCTACGTCCATCGACGTAGACACTTCGGTTACATTAAAAAATTTTGAAAAAATTGGGATTAAAACTAGTGTTCTTCACATAATATTAAAGCTGACATATGCAGAGGGTTGAACGGTTACTTTCCCAAATTAGGTTTATTAAAGGAACCATATAAAATTAACAAAATAATAAATAACAAAGAATGTCCATGTACTATATTAGTCTACACAACTACTTCTTTTCAGTTTGTGATAAGTTGTTACACGTTTTTGGTTATCCCACATGTTCATCAAGCTGGCATAATCTCCTTCCAGTTTAGATTTCTGAAGTTTCACGACTTCAAGCGATGCCTCAAAAGTGCTCATAAACAGTGTTAATCTTGGCTTAAATCTGTGTATGCGTACTGCTATTAAAACGCTATCTTTCCGTTAAGGGCTGAAAACTTTTGACTACCCTTGCATATAAAATGTGTGGCTATGCCTGGAATATTTGCGTAAGTTATTCGCATAGTTATCCAGGGAAATAAGGCAAGTTCGCGTCTTGATTCAAATTCAAATCGCCCGCGAATTCTTCCAATTGATGGCCGCTTGAGAATCGCAGCTGCATCGGCCGCCAGGTTGTATCGTGGTCATCATTTCTTAGCCAACTTGAACTCGGCGAGGGCTGTGTGTAGACGCTGTACTTTTTTTGCCCTTTTCTATCGTAAATATCAGTAGACGCACTCTAGTGCGATCTGTGTGAGCAATTTGTTCATCGTGCTGTTTGCGCCTTTTGGACTGATCATACGAAGAATAACAACAACTTAAACATTTCGACGGAAAAAAGGTCGAGAAAAAGCATAAAACTCGAAAGACCAGAATTGTAACGCCAAACGACAGCGTGATGATATTGTTGTAAAAACGCGGAAGCAAAACTGAGAACTCTACCCTTCTTTTAGTGGTAGTAATAGTACTGCGGGAATCGAGTAGCCATGGTTGTGTTGTAATCTATTATTTATTGTCTACCTTTTTCGTACGGTAAATTCGTGTCGATAAAGTTCCCAGTTCTTCCATTAATTTCCTTTGGCTTCATTCACACTAAGTTGTTGGAAGTGTTCTTAGTATAGTAGCCACTTTTGAGGTGTTCAGCATCGTCCAGCGGTGGATCTCCAATTCGACGGTTTATGATTAAATAGTCCGGTAGTGAACGAATAAAAATACGCTGGTGGTCGGTCTTTGCGGGTTATTTTTGCTCACCGTCGGTCGTCAGCTTGCCTCAGGCTTACTAGCCACTGGTACGTCCTCTGCTCCATTACCTACTTCCAGTATTACTAATAGGATAGGAATGCTTTCCTGGCTCTAGGAACTTCGAGAGTCCGACCCCGAACTCACCACCACCATTAGTAATCAGCAACAACACCAGCTAAGTACTCGCTAGTATCAGGACTACCTCGAAAGTGGAGAATACCAAGCAGGGAGGGGGGGCAAGCCGACCTCTGAGCTCTCCGACTCTTCCTAACGTCAATGCCAACGACGGAAGCACTGCCTTTGCTGTCATTTTCGATTCTGCTCGGATTGGCTCAAACGCTGGGTGGAAACTGGTATACACGGCCTTTTACCAGTTTACGAAAGGAGTCATATTAGAGTGGTACACGGCGAATCTCATATGCCGGAAAAACGCCACAACATTTTGTCAGCAGGATCAGTGCGAACATGAGCTCACGGCAATTTCACCATATTACCCCGTCTTTTTTATAGTCGTAGTGTCCGTAAACGGGATCCCACCGTATAAACGCTAGGCTTTTGATTCTTATACGCTTACAACTTACCTGTATAGTGCCGAACGAGTCTCTAAGAGTGAATCGATCTCGACGAGAACAAGCGTTGTTCGACTCTATTAGTTAGCAGAAGTTATAAATCCTGGATTGACCTATTTTTGTCAGTGGACGTGTTAATCGGAGGTTCCAGCCGCAGTTCTTTCCGCTGCTTCCGAGAATACTTGATGCATGTGAATAATTTGTTTAGCTGAGCCCCAGTGCGACCAGGAGTGGTTTTCAATCCCCGTAATCCCCTTCAGTTAGCCCGCCTCGTCTTACTGTCAGTGCTGCCAGCTGAATTAGCTTCTGCACCATCACTAGCATCTACCGACGGACCCGTTGCTAGATCAGCGCACGGGTCTTTGTGTGCCTGCCTGATTGTTGTCCGTCGCGTGCTGCGGAGCGAGTCCTAACCGTCAGTCAACCCTAAGCAGCAGGAGCAGCGTTGTGCTCTCCACAACACAACAACAAACGTCATCAGCAATATCGATAGTGCACCTATTGTACATCACTTGAACGATACAGATATTTGAAGTTCGGCGTCTCATTCAAGTGTTGTTGCGTTTTGTGTGCTGCTGACTGGTGAAATCGACGAGAAGCAACTTATCATCGTCATCATCATAATTGTCACCGCCGACGTTGTCGTTCTGTCCGCCAAGCAAATCAACATTGTCTTGAATTAGTTCTCTATCCTGTTTTGAAGAAGTTGACAAAACACTAGGCTCTGTGGCGAGACAGGCCATGTCGGACAAGTGTGAGACGCAAGGTAGAGGTAAGTTATAACATTGTACGAAAGACTTACATGTGCCATTTTTTAGCCCGTCGTCTTTGTGTTGCTTAATTAGTGGGTATGAACGCGTCAATGCGCCACCGTTGAAAAGAAATTGAAACATTACTTAAAATAAACAGTTATAGCCGGGATGACGGACAAAGCAATAATATTTTATAGGAAAGCATCTCAGAAAGTACTTATTGAATCTTGATGTTTTCCTACAACATTTTTACTTTGTGTTGTGCTACTGTAATAACCGTACAATAGAATTATTATAGGGTGGCAAAGCTTTTTGTGTAAAGTTGGAACTCCTCAGGTACAGAAAGCGGCCGCAAGAAGAAGAATAACGTGAAGTTTTCCTTCTTTGCCAGAAGAAAGCTAGTTATTTGTTTGAGAAGTTTTTAAACAGTAATTTGAACAAAAGAATATCTGTGAAATGACTTTGTACCCAGTTTGTCTGAGACTTATTTGCCGTTCGATGCAACTGGAATAAAACAGTTATGGTTAATTTGTTTATGATAAAGCGTTTGATCTAACAAACTGTATTCACTATGTGAGTAGCCCAGGTCACATGCCCACCTAACATCTGTATGTTGTCACGTATTACAATTTTGAACCAGTCATCCGTTATTTCAGCATAGTGACAACTCAGGTGGAAATAATTTCCTTGTTTGCTTTGTAAAACCGGCAGACTAAGTCGATGAGCATCATTGCTTTAGAGGGTGCGATGCGCTTTCAGACAGAATGATCCATTTTTTGGTGAACATATAACGTTATTTGTTACTAGCCGTTAGCATTATGGCTTGTGCGTTCCGTCATTAAGAACCGACGTTCGTAGTTTGTTGGCAGCTCTTCTATGTGACTGGTGAACAATAATTTCATATGAATTAGACGAAGAGCCTAGTTCTATCCGAGCGATGATAGTTTTATGTGGATTATCTCAGTTCTACCAGTCGTGTGCAACGCAATGGCATTGGAGCGAAACATCTATGGGGTGTAATGTGCTTCATTTTAGTTTAAGCATTCGGGGTTACAGCCAGCCTGTTACGTCATCTACACTAAGACGGTCATCAGCTCTATTTTAAAGTGTATGCTTCTGTATAGATGTTGTATAAATTATTGATGTTTGAGATTCTTAATTGTGTTCTCGTTGCAAGAATAGTTTGTGCGTACTGCCAAATCCGTTGAGATGTTGGAAAACGTAAGAATCAAAATGACAGGGCTCGGCTTTACATGCAAGTTGAAAAAACAGCTGTAATGCAATTCAATGTAGACGATTTCTTCGATTATTTTAAGTCTAAGGAAAACGATTTCTGAAATATATTATAAAATGAAATCTTATTTAGCAGAGCAGCATTGTTTTCTGCTTGATTCTTCTGTTGAAAATTTCTTTCTTTAATCAGGTTCTGTTTATTCATTATTTAGATTAGGTAAGAATCTTGAATAAACATAGAATGACTTTAGCGTCTTGTCACTAATATTATATGATTGTCTGATGTATTTGTTATTGCTTGTTGTCGATTTCGTTGTCCATTAGATGGCCGTCGTTCAGGATCAAGCAGTGCGAGGTCCACTCGTGCCAACTCGGTTGCTAGCGAGGATAATAGCGCTGCCGATCAACGTAAGCATTTTAAATACCCCAAAACACATTTATCCATAACATTATTTCCTGTTAATTTCAATGATAACTATTCGTAATTAAAGAAGAGTCAGAATTATTGCATACACATTCTACGCCAGGCATCAGTTACATAGAGCAGTGCAACTTATTTTCTATATGAAGACTTCATAGGGAAATGCTACTTGGTAAATACGGGACTTCCACTTTGACAAATGGTGCAAAGCAGTTCGAAATATTTTTAAAACTTTTTTCGTGCACTGTATTTCGATGCACACGTCAATCGAGGGCCGTCCACTTTAATATCTCGAATTCCGGAGCCCGTGCTCGCGGTGACGCATTATCGAGTACTACTATACATCATACTATTTGAGCAAAATTATTTTGTTAAACCGCGGATATTTTTATACGTTTGTTGTATCTGGGATAGCTTTACTTAGAATGGGCATCAAATAGAGTAAGTTTGCTTTTTGACGCTGTTCACGGATGGTATTCCAATGGTGACGATATCAGCAGGAGTTTATATTCATGCGCTGACCTGCAAAAACTGGTATCAGCTTTTATCCCGGGATGTCGGCGTACTGCGCAGCAGAGCTTGAGACGTGTCTATCCTATCTCGCTAAACTATCCACACTAGGAGTTCTGTTAAGCGCTGCTTCATTGAAGATTTCAAATACACCCGAAGTCTGCAGTGAATGGTGTGCCCACTCGAAACGGGTCGTCGGCTGCAAAACAGATAGCAGCTTCCGTAGTAGAGTAGTCAGCGATTGCAAATGAAGCAGACAGGCTCAGTGAGGCCGAGGAAGCAATTGTAAAAGCAGAGGTGCTTCCAGACAGAGTGGAACAGTTCGAGCTGGTAAGCGCTAGAGCTGAAAAATAGCAGCTCGTTTGCCTTGTCTTGGGAAGCCCTCTAGGATAACATTATGCATTTGCTGACTGAGGCATTAGGTTGTGTAGTGACAAACGCGCATGGCACATGTGAATCAAAAGGCATTGACGGAAAGGCAGGGCCTAATTAGCGCGCATTCTAAGGGGCCGGTCTTCGAATTGTTAAGGCTACAAAATAATGTGACAAACAGATGATGTTGGAACTGAACTATAAGAAAAAGAAAATTAAAAACTTTTATATTTAGGCTACGTTTAGATCCTCAAAGCTTGATGTTGTAGGATGTAAAGGAGTCAAGTAACTTAAGAATTACGCATTCTTGCTCATGAAGGAGTAATGGCGTTAGATATATTTCACATGCATTAAAGCTGATTCCTTTATCAATTTATCCATTTTCTATTAATAAATGAAATGGTTTCAAAAGTCAAGAAGTTATTGCAGTATGCGCTGTAGCTGTGATACAATTAATATTCAATATTATGCTGGCGTTAATTCATAATAACATTTAACTGTTAAAAGTCGCAGCAGTATTGTGACTAGCTTCATTGCAAGAAACTGTCAAACTGTAGCTGGCAGAGACAAATTTAGTTTGTTTTCGAGTCATTTTATACAAAGCCGTGTTACATTGAGAATTTGGTCGGGCAGAAACAACGCTAGACTCAGGTAATGCCCAGCTTTTTATTCGTTTAAGTTGCTGTCTGTCTTTCTCTTTCACAAAACATGCTATGTTTGGCTGTCGTCATCCTTAAACTTATTATTGAACCCCTTCAGGTAATGGTACAATTGGCTCATTGGTTACTTCGAAGAAGTCTTCCTCCGTTGTATCTTCAACTACGGGCGGCAGGGAGTGCGGTACTGAGTCGAGTGGAGAATTACGAGATCGGCTACGCTATTCGTACGAATTTCTGAAGAAGTTACAGAAGAGCAAATTGTCAAGAAAAACACCCGACTGTATGTCGAAACTCCGTCAGGAAAACCTCCTACGCGAAATGTGGAGAAATGATAGTCCGTATTTTTTTTGTACGTCTTAGAAGTACGCTTCTATGTATGGGCAAAACTATTCGAGGGAATCCGTCTAACAGAACGATTCACGGTCGCTAATAGGATTTTCAGCTGAAATGCATAAGTATTGTATTATTGTCGCGTAGTCCTTAGCTCTTGTACAACAGAAAAACTATGTTAACTTACAGAAAAGAACGTTTGTGGAATCATTGTTTGACTATAAGTGGTAATTGTTGTTATTTTTGCGCAGAGGATGAAAAGAAAGATGGCGCTAATCGGGAAGTTCAACTTGACCTCGGTATGACTCGGAGAAGCTTTGTGGCCGGATGCCAGGTCGCCACTTTACAGGTACACGGTAAACTCGAAAAACAATGTGTGGTGAAAATCTTCAAAATGGTGCCTTCTTGTCCCTATATCATCGATTAGCGAAGATTGGCTGCCTAAAATAAACTTTCTCGGTTTTCCCTCTGTACTTCCTTTTACCATTACCCTCTAAAGACCTCTTTTCGTATCAGTGCCTCAATATATCGACCTTGCAATCTCTAAATAGTAATAATAGGCATATTGCATCAGCACGACGGAATTCTCAAGCTACGTGCTTGATTTGAAGATTGATTTTGGTAAAATCCTCATTTAAGAAACCTTTAGTACGTGTTCGCTAAGGGAAATCGCATAACCCCATTTTTTAACGTTATGTCCCAATCCCCTTTGTTGTCATCTTGAATGATCTTTCTACCATTGGTCATTTCGAGTCATGTGCTTTTGATTATTTGTTTGTTTCGCTCCAATGGGCGATTCTACTTCAATAATCAATTGCCGATGTCTAGCAATCAGAAGGCGTTCCAAAGACCACATCGAAGCTCCTCAGTCTCCAGGCGGGTGAAAAGGATTCCGCGCAGGGTTCAAGCCAGAGCAACGGTAGCTCAAATACAAATAGCATTAGCAAGGATTCGAATGGCGGTACAACCGCAGCTAGCGGCCGGCGCATCGGAAGTGGACGACTTGACCGAGCGTACGTAATTGATAGCTAAATCTCCTTGTCGAACTACGATGGTTAATTCTAGAGTACAGAATTATTCTGTGTAACTTTCTGTGTAGGTTAATTGGAACTACGTAGCTTGCTCATCTCTAAATTATTACAAGACACTAAGACTTATGAAGACGAGAAATACGTGAAATAGAATCAATAATCCTGAAACTATAAAATAACCAAAAAAAGAGACCATAGCAACGGCGACTCAGTTAATCTATTTAGGTGAATTTTTCTGAAACATGGTTTGTCTTGTAAATTACGCTTGTCGCTCCTTCTGGAGTTAATATATTTATTCGCTCCGTTTTTTCGTACTTGTTATACTGATGATTCAGGTTTAAAGATACACGGAGTGATCGCGATCGGGATTACGGTTATGGAACAAACGACCGTGACAGGGACCGAGACCGTGATCAGGGCCGACGTCGTGGAACGTTTGATTTCCGTAAGGACTCGAAAGGAAGTGACATGAGAAGTCGCCGGTACGACCTTGCGCCACGCGAAGACGAGCCCGAATGGTTCACCGAAGGCCCAACTTCGCAAACGGACACCATTGAGCTCGGCGGCTTTGAAGATGCTCGCACCGGATCGTCTAGAGATGGTGCTTCGAACAACAATCCATCTGACTGTGGTGAACCACAGGGAAGTGGCCGTGAAAAGAAGCAGATGAATGCCCACAATAGGAGTCAAATGACACCCTCACCAGATCCGGAGCGGCATAAGAAGTCATGGTCCGAGAAGGAATTACTTCGAGAGCTTGCTTCGACTGGCTCCAACAGTGGGCCGAAACGCGAGACACCGTCCCCGTCTCAAGATGATGATAATGACAAACCGTTGCATTCAGAAGCATTCGAAGCCAGCCAGGAGCGTCAGGGTGCGTCAATTTCCTTTGAGAACTTCTTCTTGAATTCGGGCGAGCAGACACATGCCGAACTGCCTGATGAACAGCGACCATCATCAGCTATGCTTGGGTCTCGCTTTATGTCCAAGGTGTTTTCGAAGGCTCCGATGCCGTCTCCTGAACGCGGAGAGTCGCCTCGTAATCCTTCTCCAGATCATAATCAGCATGAGCAATCTGAACAGTCTCGCCCAGTCATGGAAATGCTTCGAGCTGCCACTATACAAGAGGTGCCACCTCCCGGAGGAGTTGATCCATCGCCAGGTGGGCCACCAGCATTCCTGCGCGAACTCATGCAGATGCCGCTTCATTTGCAAGGCGGCGGGGGAGACATAAGCCAAGCACCTCCTCATATGAATATGATGAGCAATCAGCAGCATCACCAGAATAACAACGTTGGTGGCATAATGAGTATGGGTGCAAGTCATGGGCCCCCTGGACCTCTCGAAGCACTTCTTGCTGGTCCACCTGGCCAGCATCATCACCATCACCATCATCATAATCACAATCATCATGGCGTACCTCTTCATCCCGGTCAACCGCACATGCATTCTCCTCATGGTATGCCGCCAATACCTGGTCCCCCTATGGAACATATAAATAGCAATGACGACCATATTCCCAATAATAAATCCAATTGTGATAATGGGCCAGCTATAACTAGCGGCAGGGAGCTACTTGATTTGCTTCTACTGGGCGCGTCTGCTAAGGGGGCACCATCGCCTCCACCCCCGCCTCCACAACATGCCAAAACTGTCGAACAGTTGGAAGCCGAGTTCAAAATGCAGGCGTCAAGACCCATGATGCACCCTTCAGTTCATCATCACCAGCACCAGCAGCAGCAGCAACAACAGCAGCACCAGCAGCAAGGTCACCTTAACCATGGACCACGTGGCGGGCCAACCATGTCAATGCATGGTGGTATTCCCCATCATCCGCCACCGATTGACAGGCCCCTCAACGGGCTTATGCCTTTAGGCGAAGTAGGACACCATAATCCTATGTCCATGGGAGCAATGGGACACCATTTCCCGCCGGGTCCGCCTCACATGCGCCTGCATCACCCCCCGCAACAGCAAAACCATGGGCTGAATGCAGGCCAAGATATTTTACGACTGTTAACTGAAGGCGCAAATCGGGGAGATGTTGGTCACGGACGTGGCATTGACACGGCTCTTGTCAAACCCGCCTTCAAGCAGGATCTGAAAAATGTCCCTACACAGGTACTTCTTCGCGAGAAGGACCTGGTTATTCAGCGTGAGTCGAATGGCAGTGCTCATTGTGGGCCGCGTCCAATCGTCAAGAGTAATAAGAGTAACACTCCTCCGGGACCACCACCTCCGGCGATGCCGACCCCCCAACCTCACGAAAACGGTGCCGAATTTCTTTCTAAATTCCTTCAGCAGCACCAGCAGCAGCAACAACAACAGCAGCAGCAACAACCATCTCAGCAGCATCAACAGCCATCACAAGCGCGGCAAGCGCCATGCAGGCCTCCTCATGGCGGTGGCCCCTACCTCGGCGGAAATACCAGCAACGGCCCCACCCAGCATGCGCAGAACAACAGTAACAGCACTCATCAAGGCAACGGCGGGAATCCTAAAATGATCCGTGGAGGCAATCCGCCTCCAATACAATCAACGCATCAGTCACAGCCGTCGACTGTGCTCGAAGAGTTGTTTGCCTCGGCTGGTCAGGGTGGCCAACAAGATAGACGCTTAATTCTGGGTCCTTCAAATGGTCCCCGCCCACTGACTGGGATGCACGGGCAGCGTTACGGCGAGATCACTCATTATGTCCCTCCACAGCATATGCAGGTTCCACAGCCGATGAAGTCGCAGAGTAACAGTAATAGCGTACAGTCGCATAACCCATCGCCCTTTGCCAAGTGGTTCGGTGAAGGTCTACCGGCGGGAGAGAACCCAGCACTCCCGCGAAACGTCGTTCGCGTCGAAGATCTCGAACGTCAACAGCAACGCTTCCACTAAAAGTTGTCTGCTATCTGTGCATGTAAACTGACTATGCTTCTTCGTTCTACAGAATTGAGCGTAACTGAACACAAGCAAGAGATAGGGCGCATAAACTTCAGTTTTCGAAGAAGAATATTGTTGAAGAATGTTTCATCCATCATTGCCTCGAAAGTCTGTGGCACCTACTGTTACGTTCATCGATTATATTTGCGGGAACCGATCAGTTTAAACGGTTTGACGTCTCAAAAGGGCGTCATAATTCAGCGTCTGCAGAAGTAATTTTTCCATTGGAGAACTCCCTTGATAGAGAATAATTTTGTTTAACCGGGTGGCAAAACGAATACAGACGAATAGTGCAGTATTATGGTTATGGCGAATCCTTTTTACGAAAGCAAAGAAGCTGTGCCTTGCCTTCAGCTTGTGAATACGTACGACGACCATTATCAAGAAGTATACGCGGATTGGGACTAACGCAACTACCATAATGGTGATAAACAAACATGATGGACGCAGAAATGGGAAATAATAGTGATGACCTTGTAATCGAGGAGCGAAATTATTCATGACTGGGATGTGGGCGAAGTGACTCGTTTAAGATGTGACAAACAGTAATAGAAGGCTAAAATAGCACATATTATAAAAAGGGAATTTTTCTGCGAGCAAAGAGAGCGCAAGAGACACCTATCGGGAAACAAACAATAAACGTCATAATAACCAAACGACAAGCAACCAAACAAGCAGCGAAAGAAACCATAAAGACGAAGGAAGAAGCAAAGTAAATTCGAGATGATGCAAACAAGTACAGTATAGATAAGGGTCCAAACAACAGAACAAAGTTCCTCTGTAAATAGGTCACTGATGAAGAGGTTTAGCGACCACCAATTAGAATCAACAACGGCACCAACGAATACAATAACAGAAACATACTATGGATAAGTCATGCAAAAACTTATTCTGAAATAGTAACAGACTGATTTTGTGACAGGCAAAGTGCAGTACTTGAACTGCCGCATAAAGTAACGATACGGTGGATGGTGATTTTTTGTTTCTATCGAGGCAAATGTCTGGGGACACCGCGATACATTTTGGTGATACCGTATGGTTATAGGGTTATAAATGCATTAAATGGCCAGCGCCTTTGTTTACCGTTCCTTTTTTTTGGTGAAATGTTGAATGAACTTGGCAATGGAAGTTCGTGATCGGGCGAGATTGGACTCGCGCTGCTTGAGGGTTGCAGTGTAGGGCCTTAAAGGTCACTTGAGGGTTGTGACCAACAGGTCCTTCAGTCTTAAAGGTTGACTGAGAGTTTAGAGTTCACCCGCCTGTGTCGGTTCCATTTGCATGTGGGTACTTGAGCCTCAAGGGTTGGCTCAGTTCTTTTTGACAGCTGAGAGCATTCATCATTAGCTAGGACGAGGTGGATTGCCGTGCTTTTTGCTTATAACCCATTTATATCAGACATACATACATTAACAGGCAAGCTGTATAAGCTGTTCGACGATAGACGCACGTCCTTTAAGAATCTTCAGCCTTGAGGGTTGACTGAAGATGTTTACACGGCTTCAAATCACAGATCTCGAACTCAGAACGTTTCTGATTAATGTGCGTCTTGTCTGCTCACAGCAAGGCTGCTGACTGTATGTATCTTAATGCGGTACATTCGACCTTTTCTCTAGTGACCCTGTAAGCAACCTCAGTCTCAAGGGCTGCCTGGGGATTGGCTTCAGAGTACTGGACGGTTCGTCTCCCAAGGCATGTCATCTGCCTCCGCCACTGGCAAAAACAACACTAAGAAAAACGTGTCCATCCAAGTGCACCCTTTATCATCATTCTACCGCATCGGAGATTCGTTTATGCGATTTCCTATATACTGCAGGAACAAGCCGATGCGCTGTTGGAAGGGCGAGCTCAAAAGTGATGCCAGTTCGAATTGGGCTGATGGCGAAATACTTTTAGCCTCATTCATTTCCAAAGTAAAAATGAAAATGTAGTGGTGGAAAACATTGTACAGCTGGGTTTCTAAATATCTGCAGCAACTCTTCTTGCATGCATTACATTACGCGTGCAAAGCTCGAAAACTGAATGACAGTTTGAGGACAAAGAAAAACGTCATCTTTAAGAGGAACAGTTTGGATTCTGCTAGGGGTTCTGAATCTATAAACATGAATTACGAAACACGGTTAAAATTGCATTGTTGCAGATGAGAAGCGCAACAAATACGGTTACGTTTGCGTCAGTGCAGAAAACATTAAACAAAGAATCATATTTTAATTTAGCGACATAATCCCATTTAGGGATATTTAATACATACACCGGGAACATCTGAATTGAACTAGCGAACCGCAAAACAACGAAACGCATAGAACTGCCTGAGGAAGAAACTCGTTCTGTAACATTTTAGTTGTGATAGTCGCAGCGATTTTGGGCAGAAAGTAAACATATACACACATAATACACATGCACACGCACACACACTCAAACACTGAAGAAAAAGAAGATGGTGGAACTCGTATGATGACATAGAATTTGGAGAAACACAAACAAAACTTGACCTGTAGCACAGTAAACTAACCAACAACTAATGCTACCGCTCATTGTCGGCCATCTGTCTTTTCTGTCATCGAAAAAAATCCTTTAAAAAGGAAATTAACGAAAAGAGACACCCTCTTTATTAATGGGACATCACTCTTATTTTTTTTGTCTGATTAAAACTCGCAAGTGTGAATTACGAGGTTCATTATTACGATTCTGAACACGAACGTTCACCTGCTAAATGGAATAAACATTCAATAAATAAATGTAATCTGTAGTGTTCATTGTTAGGTAGGAGTTTCAAAAGTGTCGTGAAACGGGAAAGATGGTCTAGGTAAAATAAGAAAGGTGGAAAACAAAACTTGTGTACAATAAAAATTTGATTAAGGAATAAGCATTTTCGATCTACTTTGACATTGATTAAATGAAAGGTTAAGGTATAATTGGTACGAAATAGAGTGATAGTAGAGCGACTTATGACATTTAAAGGATTTTCTACCGAAAATATAACTGGTACCCTCTAAAGCTTGAATTTTCAGTAGGAACTCACGTCAGTCTCCCGTTGTAGGCTAAAAAAGAAAACTAACTTTAACAAACTTTCAATTCCTATTTGACTTCTTTTTACATGATTAGTAATTAACGTCAAGCAAGAAAATAGCCCAATGTGTAAGTAAACGATAGAATAAGAATAACATCTGACGCAAAAGCTTATAACACTAGATACGATGCGCCCATTTCAGTTCTAGTTAAATGGAGAGCTTCGTAAGCTCTAGTATTTATTTACCACCTTAAAACAACAGCAATATCATAGCGTACTTTACAGAGAAACATATCATCGAACAGGAAAGACACATTTTACAATAAATAGTTAATGAAGACGGGAATATTTCCTTTAATAGAAAAAAAAAACTATTAATTCCCTTTTCCTTTCAGTTTTAAGTAAACTATGTGTGTAGCTAACCTTCAAAGTTCAGCACAAAAAATATCAAAATTTGCTAGGTCTTTATTTGGCAATCGTATATTCAGCAATTAGTGTACCAAAAATATGGAATTAACGAAAACACTCCGATGTATGAGACAATAATTTAACTAAATTTTCAAGTAAGTCCTTCTACAGATAGCGATCCATTCCTATCCAAAGCAAGCTCACGATGTTGAATAGAAACTTTTTTTGTCTACTTATTTATATTATGTAAGCATTTCTCTACTTATTAAGTTACAGAATTGCTAATATATGTGCACGTGTTTCAAATTTTTTTCAAGGGCATATAAAAACGTTGCTTTAGTTGCATGTACTAGAATAGGGTATACGGCGCCTTTATTGTTATCTGTGCTATATCTAAGCACAAATTAATGAGTGTGACTGTGGGTATAAGGATAAATTATTGAAAATCAATATTATGAAGGGTGATTGATTAGCGTTTTACTTCGTATATATCTAGAAATAATTTTATGCGTGAAAGTGTATCTATTAAACATTGCTAGGCATGCCTTAGAAATGCTTCTACTTTAATTGTCCACTTATAGCAAATACACGGTAATGTAAGGACTGTAAATTCTGTGTACGTAACTTTGTGTGGAAGTAGGGGAAGGTTATCTTTGACCGATTGCTACTATTAAGGCAAATGCAAGTTTGCTATTTGGTACGCTTTTGATTTGTTTCGTCTTTCATTATAGTAATTATTTTGGATGTAACAGCTATTTCCTATCTGCGTAGTGGCAGATTAATTAGCATAGACATTTCCAGCGCGAGAAGTTTTTTCGACAGTAATTTACATGTTATATTATTATAATCAACAAGATTAGTTATTTTACTAACTTGATCTTTCGGGTTACTAAGTCGTAGCGTTCTCTCTTACTAGATAACATTTTTAAATATCGTATTTCTCTATAAGTGGCTCCAGTAAATGTTAAAGAAACGTCAAGTAAATTTTGCTTCTATTGTAACAGACAAACAGTCATGATCTTAGAACAAGGGAATCAGAGCAATGTAGAGCTCAAACTTAAGTGAGCCCGCTCTTCACTTCTAAAACATTTGTATATGTGGTGGTAGAAAAAGGAACAACTTTTAGAGTTAGATGGCAATGAAGTGAATATTATGAAGTAAATAGCAAGAACGTGCATACATAGGTAGAATGTCACAAAAATATATGGACCACTATATTGGCACTAATTAACTGAATGTACTGTAAGATTAGGTCTTGTTGCGCAATTGGCGAGAACTTTGGTAAAAACAGCGAATTTGATTTCCAGCAGAGCGGAACATCTGCACCGCCATGATAAGAACAGCGTACCTCTACAGTAAAACGTATAGATGGACTAAAAGAAGAACTTGTAAAACACCCTGTCTGTTTCCAACCTTTAACGCCAATAACTTTTTTTACATGTGTAGCTTGAAGATAAAATCCTAGCTACAAAACTCACGACATTAGGAGATTGGACAATTTATCAATGAATAGCTCATCATTAGTAGCAGTGTATTGACCAGAATGGTAATAATTTTGAACGTCTACGATAGGAGAAAGGTTATATATTTTATGCAGATTTTTTTGCGATTTAAATACGGTTCTTACGTTTTACTTAGTCAAACCGTGTATACATTTTTGGAACACCCTGTATTAATGTAATTCGCTTCGCTTTTGTATAAAGAAGAGCAACTTTTCTACCACAGATTCTCTCCATAAACGGCCCATAGATACCGCTAAATTATTTATAAGTCAATTTTGGTTACAAACATGTACGTATTAAAACCATTACTCTATGGGTTTTCGAAGCCGATGCTACATTTGAGACTCGAAGGAGTGGAGTTGTGCGTAATCGTGATTTAGCCGGAGATAATATCGGAAGGGATAGGAAAGGGCAGCCCACCAGGGCCGGGTGCTGGCCCGATTCTTCAGGACAAACAGGACGAGGTTCTGACGGAGCGAAAGACCCCACTCGCCCTTCTCCTCGGCCATTTTGATTCCTTCAGCCAGAAAGACCAAGCAGCACAACACCGTAGCATACAACACACAGACACACGCAACACCGTCACACTGATCGTCGTCCATTGCAAAATATAAACATTGCGCAGCGGAGTTTACTCACTTCGGATCTTGCACCGTGAGAACCTTTTTTACGGTTCGGTAGGATAAGCAAACGATTCCTGTACGGTAGGCATTTCAGAAAAGATCGTGGAATCCAGTTTTCATAGTGGCATCGGTGGAATCCTTTTTGTTCCCATTCGACGTACATTCTCTTGTAGCTGTGCCTAAGTATTTATGGCTTCTACTATTATATGATGTCTATCTGATTTGTACATTCGCGCTAGTTATAGTCGAAGCATGTTTTCCACGGGGCTTTCGGTAATCGTCGACTTGTGAGCTCGTGACCAACGAAAACTAGTGCATATTTGCCGCATATCGAAGTGGTAGACGAAAAAACGTTCAGGCCTTCATATTGAATATATATCTATTGACAGCTTGTTACGTTAGTTAGAATCCAGAAGGTTTTAACCAAATTTTTAACTGTTTTCGATGAGACCCCATGACTCTCGGACTGTTAATATGTTAGATGATCTAACGTTACCGTAAATTTTCACAGTACGGATAAGATCGACTTTGCTCTAAATGTTAATACTGTATTATCTCGCACTTCAGGTCGTCCCTATTCGAAAGTCTTTTGCTGGTAGTACGGTTTTTTTACTCACATTCTCTGGGGAATGTGGAAGCTCTCTCCACCAACGAAGGTTTGATTATGGTGAACGTGAGCTGAAAAGTAAAATCTGATACATAAAGCAACGTCCGGGCCGTTCGAGCGGTGCTCTCAAATGATTAGCTAAGAGAAGAGTGTTTGCATGAAGCTTATTGATGTAGAACTGAAAAATGTCTTTAATTGTGCTATTTATTTTCACAAAACTAATCTAGAATATGGAAAATTGTGTGGTGGCGCAACTTCTAATAAACTTGCTCTTCATGCTCCATTATTAGTGCGTTAATTCGCTTCAACTCTTCATACAAACGGAAAACACTGTCATCTATTATATAAGCCAGTCAGATAAGTTATGTTTCGATTCGTTTGTAGCGTTATTACCTTCATCGAAAACTTTGAATTATTTTGTAAAGGTTTGCCTTACGACAACTAACGAAAAGCAATACAAATTGTAACTTATACAAGTGAAAAAGATGTCCAAAAACCTCAAATTACATTGGTTAGTCGGACTCGTGATGCGATTTTTGAAAAATCTAATTTCTTTTCACAACGCAGCAAATATGATAACCATCCTGAGTGCAACCTCACAGCAGTTTAAATATCATAAGCGGTCTTCTTGATTTTTTGCCTAAGGTCGATGATATGCCTCCCAAATATGTCTCAGGTTCTTTTCATTATATAACATTATTTACAGAAAATTCAGTGTTATAGTAATTTTTCGTTGCTTTGATTAAGAATATTTGACGGCCATGGCGGTTGGCGTGAAGCCGCGTAGTGACGGATCATCTCCAAATGGTTTGACAACGGGGCGAGCAGTCGCTGTCTTGGCAGTCGTCGTTGGTTGTCTCGTGATTCTCTGGCCAAAGATCTTCTATCCGATGCTCATTGTAGCGTTAAGGTAAGCGCTAAGCTACACAATTTGTCACACATCGTGTCTAAGTTATTGTAGGACCGATACATTGACCCTTGGTTGTACATGAAAATGGCATTCTGATTGTCTTTCAAAAAATCTATGGTCATGGTAAAAATTAAAGATTATTAGTTTCTAGAATTGATCTAATTATAGATCAAAATAGCTTTCCATACGTATGACTGCTATATATACAAAATTCGGGTCTTTACTGATAAGCATATTGTTATAAAACTAAGTAAACATTCGTACCCGCATTTGTATGAAATAGATTTCATAACACTAGTTTTTTTTTTTACGAAACATACGTTATTGAAGCATAGCCATTAGTTACTTTGTCTACAATGACTTGAGCGCACCTGCTCTACGTATGCACATCAATGACTAATAACAATTGATACAAATATTGAGCCTCATAGCAATATAGGGAATCCATTATTCACTCTTGCTGTATAAAATAACTCGTATGTTACAATGTTACCGACAACTTGCCGTAAACATAAATAAACTTGAATTTAAGTATATAGTAAAACGCAAAAATATCGGGTTTTTGGAAAACTAACGGATAAACGTCATTTCTTAATAGAGGAACTGATGGAAGCGACACGGATTATCCCCCTCCAATGGTGCCCGGGGGTCCAATGGCAGCTCGACTACAACAGAGCGGAAAGCGAGTTCCACCTCCACATGCGCGACTGGCCGCTCCTGGACCCCAAGGCCCGAGTAAGGGCGCCTCGAAAAGTTCAACATTTAACATTATAATGCCCATTTATACTCTTGGTATCATCATTCTCTTTGTCTACATGATCTTCAAGATTATGTCCCGCAGCGATAAAGAGAAAGTCGATCTTAACAGGTTAGAATGGCGCAACTCATTATATTTAGTTATAAGGCACATCAAACGATC